ATCGTGGTGACTACAATTAATAACAATGTATTGTATACTTGAAAATTGCTAAGAGAATAGGTTTTAAGTGTCCTCACCACAAAAAACTAAGTATGTGAGAGAATGCATATGTTAAATGGCTTGACTTAGCCATTCCACAATGTATGCCTATGTCAAAAACTTCATGTTGTACACCATAAATATACACCATCCCCCTTGGTACTGTCGTTGTGATAGTGAGTGACTTTAATTTTTACTTGTCAATTAAAGTAAATACATTAATTAAAAAAAAAAACAAAAAACAAGTACTGGTCAGGACGTGGAGAAACTGGAATTCCTATGCATTGCTGGTAATGATGTGAAGTGATGAAGCCTCTGTGTAAACAGTGTGACAGTTCCTCCAAAGGTTGAACATAAGGCCGGGCGCAGTTGCTCACGCCTGTAATCCCAGCACTTTGGAAGGCCAAGGCAGGCGGATCACCTGAGGTCAGGAGTTCGAGACCAGCCTGGCCAACATTTGGTAAAACCCTGTCTCTACTAAAAACAAAAATTAGCTGGGTGTAGTGGTGCACGCCTGTAATCCCAGCTACTCGGGAGGCTGAGGCAGGAGAACCGCTTGAACCCAGGAGGCAAAGGTTGCAGTGAGCTGAAATCATGCCGCTGCACTCCAGCCTGGGCAACGGAGTGAGACTCTGTCTCTCAAAAAAAAAAAAAGTAAAAAGGTTGAACATAGAGTTACCATATGATCCAGCAATTCCACTTGTGGGTACCCACAAGAACCAAAGTAAAGACTCCAGGCTGGGAGTGGTGGCTCATGCCTGTAATCCCAGCATTTTGGGAGGCCGAGGTGGGTGGATCACAAGGTGAGGAGATCGAGACCACCATCCTGGCTTACACAGGGAAACTCCGTCTCTACTAAAAATACAAGAACAAAATTACTTAGGTATGGTGGCAGGTGCCTGTAGTCCCAGCTACTGGGAAGACTGAGGCAGGAGAATGGTGTGAACCTGGGAGGCGGAGCTTGCAGTGAGCCGAGATCACGCCACTGCACTCCAGCCTGGGTGAAAGAGTGAGACTCCATCTCAAACGACAACAACAACAACAACAATAAACAAAGACTCCAACAGATACTTGCATACCCATGTTCATAACAGCATTATTTACAATAGTCCAAAGGTGGAGATAACCCAAGTGTCCATCAATGGATGAATGGATAAACAAAATGTGGTCTATCCATGCAGTGGAATACAACTCAGCCCTGAAAAGGAATGATGTTCTGATACAGGCTACAACATAGATGGATCTTGAGGACAGTAAGTTAAGTGAAATAAGACAGGAACAAAAGGAAAAATACTGTATGATCCCACTTATATGAGATACCTAGCGCAGTCAAATTCATAGAGGAAGAAGTAGAATGGTGGTCACCAGGGATGGGCAGGGAAAATGGGGAGTTGGCACTGAATGGGTACAGAGTTTCTGTGTGGGAACATGAGAAGGTTCTGGAGATGGATGGTGGTGATGGTTGCACAATATTGTGAATGCACCTAATACTGCTGAATTGAATTGTACATTTAAAAATGGTTAAAATGATAAATTGTATGTTATATATTAATGTTCAAGGTTGTCCAAGCAAGAAAAACAACAACAACAACAAAAACCACCCATATGTGCTCATGCATCTCTGGCACAGATGCAGTTCCTAGGTTCAGCTCTCTCCTCAGGCGGCCATGGCATTCTCTCTTCAATGACAACATTCTGTTTCCACCAACTCTGCTTCTGAACCGAATCTGACACAGCTGTCACTAGCCTACTCCCTGGAATTACCACAGGATCTGAATTAGCCTCTGGCAGGCCCTCTGAGGAATCTTGCATCCATGCTTCCATTACAGTCAGCACAGCAATACGGTGACCTATCCCGTTTTTTTTTTTTTTTTTTTTTTTGAGATGGGGTCTTGCTCTGTTGCCCAGGCTGAAGTGCAGTGGCACAATCTTGGCTCACTTCAACCTCCACCTCCTGGGTTTAAGTGATTCTTCTGCCTCAGCCTCCTGAGTAGCTGGGATTATAGGTACGTGCCACCACACCTGGCTAATTTTTGTATTTTTTAGTAGAGATGGGGTTTCACCATGTTGGCTAGGCTAGTCTCGAATTTCTGACCTCAGGTGATTCGCCTGCCTCGACCTTCCAAAGTGCTGGGATTACAGGCGTGAGCCACCGTGTCTGGGCTGCCTATCCCTTTGATTGAATACCACCTGAGTAACTGATACGGTTTGGATCATGTCCCTGCCCAAATCTTAAGTCGAATTGTAATCCCCAGTGTTGAAGGTAGGGCGTGGTGGGAAGTGATTGGACACGGGGGTGGTTCCTCATGAAGGGTTTAAAACCATCCCCCTTGGTACTGTTGTCATAATAGTGAGTGAGTTCTCAAGAGATCTGGTTGTTTAAAAGTGTGTAGCACTTTGGGAGGCCGAGGCGGGCGGATCACGAGGACAGGAGATCAAGACCATCCTGGCTAACACAGTGAAACCCCGTCTCTACCAAAAATACAAAAAATTGGCTGGGCGTGGTCGCGGGTGCCTGTAGGCCCAGCTACTGGGGAGGCTGAGGCAGGAGAATGGCATGAACCCGGGAGGCGGAGGTTGCAGTGAGCTGAGATCGCGCCACTGCACTCCAGCCTGGGCGACAGAGCGAGACTCCGTCTCAGAAAAAAAAAAGAAAGAAAGAAAGAAAAAAAAGTGTGTAGCGCCCCCCGCTTCTCTCTCTTTCTCCTGCTATGTAAGACGTGCCTGCTCACCCTTCACCTTCTGCCATGATTGTAAGTTTCCTGAGGCCTCCCCGCCCTCCGCCCCAAGAAGCCAAGCAGATGCCGGCATCGTGCCTGCGGGACCACCTGTGGAACCACGGGCCAGTCACACTTCTCCATAAATCACCCAGTCTCAGGTATGTCTTCACGGCAATGTGAGAATGAACTCATACAGTAACTCATTTGTCTTTAACTTTCCTCCATCTTTCAGTGACAGCGTGTGTGCCTAAGTGACTCTTGAAGAAGCGTTCATTCGTGAGGACACCCGGTCCCCACAGGGGCTCCTGGGGTGGTGTTTGTGGCAGGTGAAGATGCTATTGCAGAATTTATCTTCCTTGCCAGAACGCCCGAGCAAAACAGAATTGCCTTATAGCCCAAACTGGGACCCACAGTCTTTTCAGGCCTCTGGCCGTGGGGCTTGACAGTTGGATTCTAACTTCTCTCTCCCTAGTGCCTCCCACGTTTACTCTCCATGTTGTTGCTTTTCTTGGTGTGTTTGCCTCCCTGATCCCATCTTTGCTGTCTGCTCCACACTGTACCCGATTTCTGCCCCTCCTTGCCTCTCCTGATTACTCAGAGCTTCAGCTACCTCCTCGCCTCTGACAACTCCGTCTATTGCTGACAGGTTGGTGCACCTCAAACACCTGTCACCTCATGGCTCCGGCTTCTGCAACTGTGTGCATGGCACCCTCCTCCCATAGCTCTCTTCCCAGCACAACCTGCAGCTCTTCCAGCTGCCCAGCTGCTCCACACGAGCCGTGATTAGCTCACACTGGCCTTTCCTCCTCCACTATCAGCTCAGAGCCAGCCACAGCTCACAACTCCGAGAAGCCTTCCCTGATCCACACGGAGGAGACTGTCGCCTTCACATGTCTCTCCCAGGACCCTGCAAGTATAGATTAGGTGCCCAGCAACGGCTTTCACCGCAGTCCTCATCCTTTTCCTGTCTGCACTGCTGGAGCACGGGATGCCTGCAACATTCATTTGAAACCTCTTTCTACACTATTGGGACCCGCTCTGTCTTAGAATTGTTTCTGGGTGCTAACCGTGCTCCCTCCTCTAGCCTGGAGACCAAGGACTGACATCTAATTTGCAGTTGGTATCGGTATGTATGAGATGTAGATGCTCTAGTAACTTGGGTCTAGTGATACCGACTTACATCACGCTGGATTCCTTCCTTGCTTCATATACCCTCATGTCACTTTCTGTGCGTATTTTCTGCCTCCTTAGAGAGGTTGTACCCCCAGAGCTCCAGGGGAAAAAATAACTGTCCACACAGAGGCTCGTGTGTCTGTGGCCTTGGGGAACACAAATCAGGGGTCTCAGTTGGGCATCTGGGATTCAAAAAACACAGAATCCATGGCAACGGGCGACTCCTGAGGGCGGGGTCAGGGAGGCTGTGCCGATAGAAGGCTTCAGGAGTCGCCCATTGCCATGAATTCTGTGCTTTTTGAATCCCAGATGCCCAAGTGAGACCCCTGATTTGTGTTCCCCAAGACCACAGACACAGGGAGCCTCCTGGCATCAGGCTCCTGACACCAGAGTTGGGGTTCCTTTCAACTCTATTACAGTGAATGAGCCCCATGCTCACGCACTCATTCAGAGCCACATGCTTTGCCTGGCCTCCTGCTCACCTCTGAGTGGCATCTGGAGAAGACGTGGCCTCATCTTGCTTCAATCTGGAGAAGACGTGGCCTCATCTTGCTTCAATCCTCCGAGCGTGAAGAGACCTGCACTCATCAGTGAAATGAATACAACGGGAGGTGTCTGGAGCCTTTCTTCACTTTCCCCAAAGGAATATTTGACAAACCCAGGCAAGGTTCAGAGCTCCACCCTCAACAATAATCCTGTCAAAATATCCGATGTTGTTGAACCTCAGAGGCACTGTATCACAGCAGAAAAGCGATTGATCTCATGGCTAAACTCTCTTTCTTGCTTATTGGCACGACAACAGAGCTAAATAGAGCCGAGATGAATTATGAGTCTATTTTTGGCGACTCCTTGTGGAATTCATGCACACTGTGTGTTTTGCATCCTTTGAATCCTTGGGCACACTTAGAACTCTGAAGCAAACACTCATTTGTAAATGTTACAGCTGCCAAGGTTGGCTGGATGCTGTGCTGGGTGACGTGTTAACTCTCACAAGGCTGCTCTGAAAGCAGGAAGAATGTTTTGAGCTGAGCTTCGGGCGGAGGGTGGGGCTGACGCACGCATGCTTACCTTGACCCTGTCCATACAGGCTTCCATCTTTAGCTGTTCCACAGCTTTCCTGGCTTGGGAGATGCTAGTGGTGCTGTTATTAGACATGCCCTCTTTTATTCTACTGCCCCTAGAAGTAACCAAATAGAAGGGTTAGAAGAGCTGCTTTTCCAAGGGTAGGGGACCCACCTCCCACCACCTACAGCTTCTCTGTCCAAGCCGGGGGGCATCTGGGAGCACGGGCAGCATTCGGTAGAAAACCCTCCTGGGACAAGAGAAAGGAATGCCTCATTCAAGTAAGAGGAGCAAGACATGATGCTTTTGTTTGGAAAAACTTTCTCAGTCCCGGGGAGAGTAAGAACAGAAGGTTCCAGAACAACTTCTCCATCACCCCCACCGCTGCCACCACCATCACCCCCATGACCATAAGTAATGCTTGACATTTGTGTAGTGCTTTGTGAATCATCAATCACTTTCACACACATTTGGTCATTCATATTCCTCTAGCGGCCCATAGAGTTGGTAGGACAATATTAATTTCTGTTTTGCAAAGGAACAAAGTGCAAAAATCAGAGAAATTAAACCAATAGCCAAAGGTCCTACAGCCAACATTTGTGGATCCAGAACCAGACTTAAAGCTTCGAAGCCTAGCTGAGTGTCTCAAATGGCCTCTTCTAACAATCTATGACTCAAAACACACATTTCTAATGAATAAAATTGCTTTATTAATTTTAATTTGTTGTCCTTCCAAAAAGTTTACAGACTTTGTGTTGGGAGTTTGTTTGCAACAATAAACACACACACACGCGTGCACACACACACACACACACTCTCTCTCTCTCTCTGTCACCCCTATCCCAAGCATGTATTTGTTTTCTAGAGGGAGGCGGAAGAAATTCTCCCTAACCCAACACACATGGATGCCCGTGACTAAGACCACCGTAGTGCTACCTGTTTCACAGAAAGCATGTGCTACACACATCACAGTTGCCCCGTCTAATAAGAATCTGCTTCAAAGGAAGCCTAACAACTAAAGCCTGAGAGCTGGGGGACAGGTCACTGTGAGCAGAAACACAAGTGACACTGGTTCCCAAAGGTACAGATGAGGTGGGAGGAGGCCCTGGCCATCATCTTTTGTTTCTGTTTATATTTTATTTAGGTTTTAGGTTTTTTTTCCCACCTCACAATTGTTGGACTTTATTGTATTAATTTACTTCAGTATGTAAACCATCAATCATACTTTCAAAGTTAAAATGATGCTAATTGATATTCTCACAGGCATCACTTTCACTGCCCATTCCAATCCTTTTCTCCCCTCCCACCTACCTCTTATGGGCAACCAATCATATTGGACTCCGGTCTATTCTTTCCTATGCTTCTTTTTTTTCCTTCTCTTCCTTCCTTTCCTTTCCTTCCTTCCTCCTTGCGCTTCTTCGCTTCTTCCTTGCCGGTTCCCTTCGCCTTCCCTCCCTCCTCCTCGCCATGCCTTTCACTCGCCTCCTCTCCTCTCCTCCCTTCCCTTCCCTACCTCCCATCCAATTGGGGTCTACTTTCCTATGCTTCTCTTTTTCTTTTTTCTTCTTCCTTCCCTCCCTTCCCTCCCTCTCCGTCTCTCCTATTCTTCTTCTCTCTCTTCTTTTTCTGTCTTTCTCTCTCTTCGTCTTTCTTCTTTCTTCTTTTTTTTCTTTTTTTTCTTTCCTTTCTTTCTGATGAGGTTCCACTCTGTCACCCAAGCTGTAATTGGCACGTGGCGGCAATTCACAGCTCACTGCAGCCTAAACCCTCCCTGTGGCCTCAAATGTGATCCTCGCTGCCTCAGCCTCGCTGCAGTAGCTTGGAGACTACCAGTGTGTGGCCGCCGATGCCCTGGCTAATTAAAACAATTTTTTTTTTTTTTTGCAAGACTGAGGCCCTCCACTATGTTTTCCCAGGCGGTCCTTGTGTTTATTTTCTAGAAAGTAAGCAGGTTACATGTGATATTATTCTTTCTCCTTTCTTACACAAAAGGATAACGTGTGTGTGTTGCTTTTAAACTTTGTTTTTTATATTTGAACAATACATTTAGGAAAAGCCCACATATAGTTCCATTTGATATGCAAAAAAAGATCATACTCATTCTCTTCTTATAACTTACATAGTTACAGTACAGACATCCATCGTGTGGGATGATACTGTATATTTTTTCAATCCATATGTTTGATGGCATTTAACATATTCTCATATATTGTTGTGGGTTGTCTTAGGTCATTTTCTGGAATTACTGGGTTCAAAGGTAAAAGCATATTTGCTTTTGTGAATATATTGGCCAAATTTCTTTTTTTTTTTTGAAACAGAAGGTCTCGCTTCTGTCACCCCCAGGGTGGGATGTGCCACTGCCCAGTTCTCGGCTCACTTAAGCTACCGCCTCTGGGTTCATGGCCATTCCTTCTGCCTCGCCTCCCAAGGTTGCTGGGCTGCAGGCGTCCCGCACACCATGCCCAGCTAATTTTTTTTTGTAGTTTTGAGTAGAGGTGGGGTTCCCATGTTAGCAGGGGATGTCTCGATCTCCTGACCTCATGATTCGTCTGCCTCGGCGTGTGTGTGTGTGTGGATTACAGGCGTGCTCCACCACGCCCGGCCGATATATTGCTAAATTGTGTGTGTGTGTGTGTTGATAATTTTTGCTTCAAGATTCTTAAGTAATTTTTGAATTAAGTGTGTGTGTGTGTGTGTAAATTAAGTCATTTAATGCTACCTTCACCTGGTTTACATATCAATGTGTGTGTGTGTGTGTACAAAACATTTAGAACTTTTAAGAAATTTTCCATTTGGCGAGGAGGTGTGTGTGTGTGTGCCACTCTCTCTGTGGGTTTTATCACATATGAACTAATTCGCTGGCCGTGTGTGTGTGTGTGGGCAACTGCATTTGTCCAAAGGCAATTTTTGAAAGGTAAAATATTCTTGTTAGAAGACAGATCAGCCAGCCAAATCAGAGTTTAATAGATGTGTGTCCTTATCTTGGGTGTGTGTGTGTGTGCAACAACAAGGGAAGGAGAATCACGAGAAGCTGGGAGCTCTGAAATGTGTGTGTGTGTGTGCTCACCCCCTACACTGCAGAACCATGCATGCGTTCCTGCACATGTGGTGTGTGTGTGTGTGGTGTGTCTGTGTGTGCCTACGTGCCTGCCAGTGCAGGCCTTGTGCCGTGTGTGTGTGTGTGGGCCATCTCTCCATGGGTACATGTGCTGATGCGTCTGTGTTGTTATGTGTGTGTGTGTGTGGAGGGAGGAGACACAGTCCAGTTCCCCACCCTTCCCAGCTGATGCAGTGTGTGTGTGTGTGTGATATATTTGGATGTTTGCTCCAAATCTCATGAGGAAATGTGATTGTGTGTGTGTGTGTGGGGTCCTGGTGGGAGGTACTGGATCATGGGGCCAGATCCCTCAGGCTCAGCGCCACCCTTTGGTGATGAGTGAAAGTCACTCTGAGTTCGTACAAGATCTGGTTGTTGTGTGTGTGTGTGTGCCTTCCTGCTGTCTCTCTTGCTCCCACTCTTGCTACGTGACAGTCTGGCTCCCCCGTCACCTTCTGCATGAGTGGAAGCTTCCTGAGGCCTCACTGGGAACAGATGCTGGTGCCATGCTTCCTGTACAGCCTGCAGGACCATGAGCCAATTAAACCTCTTTCCTTTATAAATTACCCAGTGTCAAGTATTCCTTTATAGCAACACAAGACAGCCTACTACAGACCCTACGTGTGTGTGTGTGTGATCTTGATCCTGCCCTCCCCATTCTAGACTCCATCCCTCTCGCCCCGTGTGTGTGTGTGTGGCATTTAGGAGTTGGGGAGGTTGAGGGGAAGAGGAGGTAGAGTCTGGTGTGTGTGTGTGTGAAGCCAAGAGGACACGGAGCAGGGCAAAGGGAGGAGGGGAGGGCTCGTGTGTGTGTGTGTGGGAGTGTGTTGGTGAGTAGGAGTGTGTGAGTGTGGGGTGGGGGTGAGTGTGTGTGTGTGTGTGTGGGGTGTGAGTGTGGGACAGAAAGTATGTGTGAGGGTGTGGGTGTGTGTGTGTGTGTGTGACTGTGTGAGGGTGTGGGATGGGGTGCGTGTGATGACAGAGTGTGTGTGTGTGTGTGTGAGGGTGTGAGTTGGGGTGAGTGTGTGTGTGAGGGTGAGGGGTGGGGGTGTGTGTGTGTGAGACAGTGTGT